GGAGACTCACCTTTCATCTGGTACAGGTGCTGACCGGAGACGGATGTTTCGGTCGGTACCTGCACCGGATCAGAAAGGAACCCATCACCGGATGCCACCACTGCCCGGAGCGCCAGGACATGGCGCAACATATGCTGGAAGCATGGGACCAGCAGCACCGTGTCCTCGCCCGGGCGGTGGGGTGCCGCATAGAGGTTCTCTCGCTCCCGCGCATGGTTCACGCCATGTGCGGGAGCGAGGAGGTGAGGGGCGGCGGCCTCCTTCTGTAAGGACGTAACGTCCAAGAAGGTGGCCGCCGAATGGGAGCGCCGCCCTGGCGACTGCCTGGCGCAGGGAGAGGCGGCGCCGGCGGCGTTCCTTCGGATTAGGAAGCGGGCCCGAGATGACGCCGGCCGAGGAGCCGCCTCGATCCTTCGGGGGCCTCGTCAGCCACCTCGAGCCCGCCTTCGAGCGTGGGGGGGTGTAAACCTACCCGCCTCTTCCTGAGCGTTGGTAGGGAATGGTAAAGGGGGAGTGGATGCCCGCTTGGGGACGGGCGCCACTCCCCCGTCCCTCTTGACTAGCAAGAGAGGCCAGGAGAGAGAGTGGAGTGTCCCCTCTCTCCAGTAATAGGAACCGGAAGGCCAACCCGGTCGGGCAACCGGCCGGGACGCCGCGCCTCCGACTCCCTTTGTGGGAGGGGGCGCGGCACTTAGGCGTGGAGCTCCATAGAGCCCCGGGGTCGGAGTGTTGAGGAGGGAATGCAGGCGTAGTTCCCCTGGCTTCTCTCATCACGGCCCGATCGGTAGACACCCCGGTGGGGTTTTAGCCGAAAAGAATCCGGCATAACCCATGACCCCCCCCAAGGGTCAAGGGTATCCATGAGGATTTCCCCACCGTGATAAAAAAGGGGGGTGAGGGGGAGCATGGACGCCACGTTGTCGTGGTGGGGAGGCTTGAAGGTCCCAGTGAAGTACAGGGCCATGCCGGCCGGGGTTTCGGCCCCTGGCAGGTTCTACCATGCCGGAGGGGCCTGTATGGAAGGACTGGACTAAAAGCGTCCGCTCCTGGACGGGTAGCTGCGTCCAGGACCGACTAAGGACTGGACTGGTCGCCTAGACTCGACCCAAAGTTTCCTACAGCGCGAGTAAAACGGGTTCGTTAGCTTTGTGCAGGCAGCCGGTCTAGGAGAAGGTAAACCCCGATAACAAACCTGAACGTCCGTTCGAGCTCGTGAGCCTGGCTATCCAGGTATCCGAAACCTGGGGAAGGAAAAACCTCAGCTAACAAATCCGGGCGTTCGGGCTCGTTAACCTGAATTCAGGCATCCGAAATAAGGGAAGAAAAACCCGTAAACCCGGGAGGTCGGTCTCGTAAGCCTAGTGAGGCATCCGACAGTTATAGAATAGAAGGTTTCCTGGGTGCCGTTATACAACCCCTTGAGGTAACTCGGGGTGCACTTACCGGTATCCAAGTTTTGTCTTCAGTGGGGGGTCGACTGGGCGGTGGCCCGGCGTACGGGTTACGTTGGTAGCACGGCCGTGGCGGCTGTTACTGTCTCTAGCTGCCCGCGCGGCTGCCCCCTGCCCTACGGGTTGGGGACCGCTATACGGCGGGGCGAACGGTGTAGGCGCAGAGGACGACGGCGGCGGTGTTGCGGCCTTAGCGGGGAGGGGGCCTGGCGGGTACGGTTGAGACTCACTCCCGTGCCGAGTATCCCCCCGCCGGCCCGTGATACCGCGTTGGTTACCATAGCCCGGTTGATACGTCTACGGGCGCTTGAGAATGAAAAACCCAATATCTAAACCCGGAAGGTCGGTCTCGTTAGCTTAGTGAGGCAGCTGACCACAATAAAGAAGGGTCTCTGGGTGCCGGGTGGGCAACTTCTTGAAGTGATTCGGAAATACACTCAACAGTGTCCCAGGCTTACTCTTCAAGGATTGACTGAGCAGTGGCCTGGCGTATGGGTTGCGAGAGTAGCGCCACCGCGGCGGCTGTCGCAGTTGCCGGCGGCGTGCTCTGTTGCCCGCCTATCCCACAGGCCCCGTTATCAGAGCCCGCTGTAAAGTAGTGCAGGCGGCGGAGTGAGTGTTGAGGGCGATGGCGGCGATGGTGTGGCCTTAGTTGGGCGGGGAACAGGCGAGCGCGGTTGAGACTTAGGCAGAAGCTCCTGCCTTTCTACCATGCCTGGGGGCCGTCTCTCGACCCGCGAAACCGCGTCGGTAACTAGGGCCCGGTTGATACATTTGCAGGCGTTCTAAGTAGTGATGGATGCCGTCGAGAAGATGGCAGTGGCGAACGCGAGGACGCACTCGCAGGTAGGGATAGACTGGATGAAGGCCCGGCGTAAGGGTTGCGGTGACTGCGCAGCTGCCGTGTTGCTGTTAACGGCTGCCGCCAGTCCTATGCTTCCGCTGTTAACGCAGGCTGCTGCCCGTCGGCCCGCGGGCCCCGTTTGGTCGAAGCCCGCAGTAGGGCTGTGCGGGTGGCAGGTTGCGCGGCGCGGGTGACGGCGGCGGCTGTGCAGCCTTAGCTGGGGGCGGACCCGCGGGCACAGAGTGCTTGCTTGGGACCGCCCTTGACCCACGGAACTGCGCCGGTCACTGTGGTCTGATTAGCACATCTGTGTGCGTTAGTATGCAGTGTTGGATGCCGTCTGGGAGACGGCGAAGGCGGGTGCGAAGATGCGCCTGCAGGTAGGATATGACGGGGCGGCGGCCCGGCGTATGGGTTGCGGTGACTGCGCTGCTGCGGCGACTGTCGACGGCTGCACACGCTGCTGCCCGCCTGCCCCGCGGGCCCCGTTTGTCGAGGCCCGCGGCGGGGCGGGTGGCGGTAAGTGCGGCTGGGCGGCGGCGACGGCGACAGTGCGGCCTTAGCTGGGGACGGACAAAAGTTGTTCAAATTAATTGACAGAAAATAACAGTGTAATAAAAAAATAGGAATTCCCACTTAAAAAACGCAAATTGACCTTCAAATAATCTCCATGGTCGAGGTCAAGATCAGATTTGAAGTCACAAAAAACAGAACTTTATGAACCCTAAAACTTTTGTTCGGGTCATTTTTCTCTATAATGCATAGATTCTGAAATAGGAGAGTCCGTTACTTTTGGAAAACTTCGTATATATACAGGGTGCTCCAAAAGTAACAGACCACTCTAATAACTCTAAAAATTTTGTATTTTTACGTATTATAAGTAGTATTAAACACAACAAATCAATTTCAACAAATTCTATGTGTTTTAATATCCATATATTGACTTTAAATCCTGTACGGAAAAGTAACTGCGAAACGCTAAATTTGCTCCGACCTGCTGGTACTCCCAAGAGCGAAATCTGCCGACCGCAAAGGGTTAATGTTGGAAAATAAAAGTTCATTCATGTTTCATTAGTAAATTAATATAATTAATATAATAAAATTGATTATACTCACCCGACGTTGTTCTGATGCAACTATGTATTTCTCTACAGAGCATTTCATTATAAAAAGTTTCTCTCGAATTAAACAGTCTTTTTTGGAAATCTTCCAAGTGTGTTTTTGTGTTCAGTCAATTTCTACCTTTAAACTATGGCATATGTACGACTTAGTAAGTAGAAACGATTATCACTATTAATGCTGCGAATTTAGGGTGACTTTCAACGTTCTTACTCGCAAACTCGAACAATATTTAATCAAACGTTTCGAGATAATAGTCAGGCGTTAATTTCCAGATCTACAGTTATTCGAACTGTGCAGCGATATGAAACTACTGGTGGAGTAAAAGATCGTCAGAGATCTGGACGGCCTAAATCAACTACAAATGAGGAGTGTCAGATGGAGATTGCACAAGCATTTGTAGAAAACCCTCACCTTTCTATTCGCAGCTAAACAGCATGGAAACATTCGAACGTCCGTTCATAAAATCTTGAAGTTAATCAAATTTCATCCGTATAAAATTCACTTAGTCAGGAACTCAATGAAAACGATTCCGATCGTCTAATAGAATTTTGTGAATTAATGATGGATTTGGTCGACAGGAACCAGGATTTTTCTTACAATATAATATTTTCTGACGAATGTCGTCCTTTAATGTTTCACATTAAAGGACGAAGTGAATAGACACAACTGCAGACATTAGAGTGACACTAATCCACGCTGAATGCAAGAATCTCGTACTCAATATCCACAGAAAATGAATGTCTGGGCAGGTATTTTAAATAACTCAATAGTGAGTCTTTTTTTATTTATGGTAATTTGAACGCCGCAAATATCTGGATATGTTAAGGAATCAAATAATACCAAGGATAAAAGAGATTGCAAGTGATAATTTTGAACAAACTTGGTTTCAACAAGATGCAGCAGGACCTCATTATGCTATAATTGTTCGTGATTTTCTTAATAATCAGTTTCATTGTCGATAGATTGGGAGAAGAGGTGAATCGAATGGCCTCCTCGATCCCCAGATCTATCATCTCTTGACTATTTTCTGTGGGATTATCTGAAGAATAGAATCTATGAAACAAAGCCAAATAATTTATATGAACTCCGAAATCGTATTATCCGAGAGTGTATCTCGATAGACCAAGATATGATAAGATAATCTGTCTTTGATTTTTATCAACGCATAGCATATTGTCAAGAGGTTGGAGGCCTTCAATTTGAACATTTAATCCACTAGTTTTCCATTCACACATAAGTGAGGATTCAATTCCAGAAGCGACCTCCATCTCGCATCCATGGGCCAAACTTAGATCTTGCCTTTAGTGGCTGGATCACATGGGGTCTGAAAATCCAGCCTACTACGCAGGCAATGGTTACCTAACATTTTATTCAATCAAGTGAACATTGGCAACGTATTCCGTTACTGTACGGTGCTCTCAAGGTCAAGTCATTATTTGTCCTTTGAATGACCCTCAATGTTTGCCTTGACTCCTACAACAACCTGAATGCTCAACAATCTGAACGCGCTCTTCAGAATCCGGGGTCAAAAATAGAGGTTCCTATTTTAAAAAACACGAGTTGACCTTTAAATAACCTCGAAAATGGAGGTTAAGGTCAAAGTCAAGGTTACCAGGCTTATGGCCCTCTTTGATCCCAACAACTTTTATTCAGGTCATATGAAATATTCATAAAAACCACGATCTACCAGCTATTTCGTACCAATAACATATTTGACCTTCAAATGACTTCTACAGTTCATTTCGACCCTCTATACAGATACATATCTGAACGTAAAATTTTGCGTTCTTTCAGAATCCGTGGTCAAAAATAGGGGTTTCCATTTGAGAAACACAAGTTGACCTTCAAATGACCTTGAAAATAGAGGTCAAGGTCATCATAAGGTAGCTCACTTAAATCCCGACAATTTTTATTCAAATAGTTTTCTTTGAAACTTCAATACTGAAGAGTTATTAGGGTGGTCCGTTACTTTTGGGACTCCCCGTATATGTATATACAGGGTGTTTCATTTTAAGTGATATGGCCGATTATCTCGCGAATCGATGATTTTATTGAAAAATTTTTCGAACAAAAATTGCATGGCTTGAAGGGAGACACATGGTAGAAATATGGACTTGATCTTGAGTGACCTTGTCAAAATCAGGTCAAGGTCATTAATGTTTGTTTAAACGGAAACCTCTATTTTTTATTATATATTCTTATAGCTTATCTCAAGAGCTTTTTAAAACACTAGAATAAAGTTACGTTTCATTAAGTACTTTGCAAGTTATGAGGTTTGAAAGTTAAGGCAAGACCGATCACTGATCCGACCAACTAAGGCAAGACCGATCACTAATCCGACCAACTAAGGCAAGACCGATCACTAATCCGGTCAACTAAGGCAAGACCGATCACTGATCCGGTCAACTAAGGCAAGACTGATCACTGATCCAGCCAACTAAGGCAAAATCAATCCGAATATATCTTTAGCCGTTGATAATTCTTGCCTTAGTTGGCCGGATCAGTGATCGTTCTTGCCTTAGTTTGCCGGATAAGTGATCGGTCTTGCCTTAATTGGCTGGATCAGTGATCGGTCTTGCCTTAACTTTCAAATCTCATAACTCGGAAAGTACTCAATGAAACGTAACTTTATTCTAATGTTTTGAAAAGCTCTTGAGATAAGCTACAAGAATATATAATAAAAAATAGGGGTTTCTGTTTAAACAAACATTAATGACCTTGACCTGATTTTGACAAGGTCACTCAAGATCAAGTCCATATTTCTACCATGTGTCTCCCTTCAAGCAATGCAATTTTGGTTCGAAAAATTTTTCAATAAAATCATCGATTCGCGAAATAATCGACCATATCACTTGAAATGAAACACCCTGTATATAGTTATGAGATTCTTTTGAGAAACAGAAACGCTATACCGAATATTCATTTAAAACGACAATTTCTTTAATTGTACGACTGATTGATTTGCGACTAATTTGGATTCGCGAATCGCTATTTCCCGGCTATACCAGGTGTGTCGGTAATTCCTTTCCGGTTTTTTCGCTAAAGAAAACACGTTATTTACAATGGATAGTTAAAATATATTTATTCAAAGTATTGGCCATTTGATTCTATACATTTTGCCCATCTCTCAGGCAATTTATGGATGCCATTCCAAAAGAACTGTTTCTCCTTTGAGCTAAACCATTCATCGAGCCATTTTTTAACTTCTTCGAAATCGGCGAAGTACTGCTCTGCAAGCGCGTGCCCCATCGATGCGAAAAGGTGGTAGTCGGATGGAGCCAGGTCTGGAGAGTACGGCGGGTGCGATAAAACTTCCCATCCAAGTGATTTCAACACTTCTTTGACTGGTTTTGCTGTATGAGACGGCGCATTGTCATGCTGCAAAATCATCTTATCATGTCTTTGAGCATATTGTGGACGTTTTTCAATCAATGCACAGTTCAAATTAATCATTTGTTGTTGGTAGCGATCAGTATTAACTGTTTCTCCAGGTTTCAACAGTTCATAATATACGACACCAACCTGGTCCCACCAGACGCAGAGCATGGTCTTGCGACCAAAGCGATTTGGCCTTACAGTCGATGGGCCGCCTTCGCCAGGTGATAGCCATGATATTTTCGCTTGGGATTTTCGAAATAAATCCATTTTTCATCACCCGTTACTATTCGATGCAGAAATGACTTCCTTTCATACCTTTGAAACAGCATTTCACTGACGATTTTTCGATTTTCCAATTGCCTGTCGTTCAATTCATGTGGCACCCATCTTCCCATCTTTTGGATCTTTCCCATCGCTTGTAATCGTTCACAAATTGCTACTCGGCTCACATTCAACTTTTCTGCCAATTGTTTTTGAGTTTGTGTTGGGTCTTCATCCAATAACTCCTGCAATTCCGCATCTTCAAACGTTTTCGGCCTACCAGGACGTTTTTTGTCTTGAACATTGAAATCACCACATTTGAATTGTCGAAATCATGTTTCACATGTTCTTATGGTTGGAGCATGCTCACCGTAAATCTCTACCAGCAAACGATGACTTTCAGTGGCTTTTTTCTTTTGATTAAACAAGAAAAGTAATGCGTGCCGCAAATGCACGTTTTCAGACACAAAACTCGACATTTTCAAAAAATTATTAATCTATAACGCTGTTATTTTGGCGGAACGTAACTTGTGTAGTTTTGAGGTTAATGTCAGTAGAATAAAATGACATATGTATCAAATTATAACATTGCATACTTATGGCTAGTAACATCTGTTACAAAAACCGGAAAGTAATTACCGACATACCTGGTATATACAGGGTGGGGTGTTATAAGTTTACAATCCGAAGTGTGAAGGTAGATTGGGTTAAGACAAACATAAAAGTCCCATACCGTTTTGCGAGATTCGCAATAATTATCGAGTTATTAATGATAGAAATCTGAGTAATGGGAGCGCGCCGACATAGATGATTGGAGAAGCGTTGCAGCTACTCAGGCCACAGCGCGGCCCACTCGACCTAGCAACTGTTGGCGGCGTGCGGCGAGACGTAGGTCCGGCGAAGTAAAACAATGAATAGCAGCGCATTGTCTTTCCCCTCGTCGCACACCGGCAAGAGTTGCTGGATCAACTGGGCCGCGCTGCGGCCTAAGCAGCTGCAACGCTTTTCTAATCATCTATGCCGGCACGCTCCCACTCCTCAGATTTCTGTCATTAATAATTCGATAATTATTGCGAATCTCGCAAAACGGTATGGGACTTTTATGTTTGTCTTAACCCAATCTACCTTCACACTTCGGATTGTAAACTTATAACCCCCCACCCTGTATATGCGCGTAACCGATATATACAGGGTGTTCCGTAAGTCGAGGTCAATCGCTCAAGAGATGAATGGGAACCACAAACAAGAAAGAAAGTTGATACAAACATAGGTCCAAAAATGCGTTGTTTTTGAGTTATCGCCATTTTTATATTAAAATTTGAAATTGCTTTGCTTTCGAATTTTTTTGGTTTTGGAATTTCGATGGTTTTTATGAGTTTCAAAACATAACTGAAGTCAAATAAAAGTTGCGGGCTGCTTTAGCACTACCCAGGATGCACCGTGTGGAGGTACAGCCCGCTTAACATCCCTTGGCAGAGATCAGGACCCCACAGTTCGTCACTCCTATGGTAAATATCACAGTGTTATTGTACAAGTTTTGTTTTCGAACACCTCATATAATTTTTACGTTCACTCACACACACACACACACACACACATACACACACGACAGAGAGGGTTTGGAGTCACTAAATACCACAGGAGTGACGAACTGTGGGGTCCTGATCTCTGCCAAGGGATGCTAAGCGAGCTGTACCTCCACGCGGTACATCCTGGGTAGTGCTAAAGCAGCCCGCAACTTTTATTTGACCTTAGTTGTGTTTTGAAACTCATAAAAATTATCGAAATTCCAAAACCAAAAAAATTCGAAAGCAAAGCAATTTCAAATTTTAACATAAAAATAGCGATAACTCGAAAACAACGCATTTTTGGACTTATGTTTGTATCAACTTTCTTTCTTGTTTGTGGTTCCCCATTCATCTCTTGAGCGATTGACCTCGACTTACGGAACACCCTATATAATACATACTAAATATTATGTGTACATATTGCGAGCGAATGGAATGCTATGATATCGGAAAATTGCGCCACAAAAATTATGGAAGAGATATCGATTTTCGGAGTTAACATAAAGGTTCACAGTGTCCGGCCGTTGACACATCTATGAACCGAAACTCCCGCAAAAATAATCATCCCCAGAGGAAAAAGGAAGAAAGAGAAAAAATGAGGAAGGGAGATCCGTGGCAGTGTAGGTGAAGAAGGAGAGACGCCGTTCCTCTCGTTGGCGAAGAAAAAGAAGGGTCGACTCATGAATAATGCGGGGGTGAAAGCCGGCTGAAACAATTGCCGGTCGTCGCCCTACTCCAGAAATTACATCGTCAGATTTTCCGCGAAATTAAAACATTATACCGGGTGCTCGAAGCATCGCTCGCACTTTTCGCTGGCTACGGATTTCTTGGCGAATTCCTTCCTTCGCGATCTCGTCATTTCCTACGTTAAATATCACCGTAATTAAGTGTCAAATGAAAACACTGTTAAAGCGCGTTTATTTAACATCGACTAAAGAAAATATGGTTTCATTATCCATCTACATTTTATGAAGTTCGTTTTGTCAAATTTTTTTGTTTTTAATTGCATGTAATGGAAAAGCTGTGTCGCGATATGGAAATGGATCATTTCACATTGCTTCGTCTCTTTGAGTGCCTTCCTTCGTTAATTTATTCTATCAATCGTGGATCATAAAGGATATATCTTCCGCTTGAAAAATTCTCATTTCTAGTCGATGGCAAGTAAATACCGACACCCCGTATATATTCCGCTTTCGGCCACTTGTCATCCTGCCCTTTTCTACTTACACGATACATAGATTCGTTCTGGTACGAAGCGCGAGAAAAAATCGCCGATTATGCGATCTGACGACGATACGCCACGCCAATGAGAACACTTTTCTTCGGGATTTAATGGCTCGTTCTTGCCAGGGACGGAATTACGCGGCCGGCTCGCACCGGCCGAGCAGTCGCCGAGCAATTTCTAGGATAATGTTGGCCCGGTTATTAAACGTCCTTATGGTCGCC